AATACTAAGATGATACTGGATTGTTCACACTATTTAAAAACATTAAGCCCATTGAACTTTATAATAGACAAAGCTTACAAATGAAGAGAAAAAAAACAAATGCTACAAATGTTAATGCCTTGAATTGTAACTTAAATACATAATACAGATTCAAATAATATTTATATAAACATTAAATGTACATTGAAGTTCTCTTTTGGGTGATCTAACAATGTATAACAATAAATATAATTGATGCTTAATTTTGATTTCACATAATTGGTAATTATATATACTGTAATTAGACATACTTGCTATCTTTGGATATACAAAAAATATTTAATGAATTATATTAATTAACTGTGATTATGTTCATGATTATAAAATTAAGCAATTTACTTTTGGGCAATCCTTAAATATTTTATAATCATTGAATTACAATTTACTCAATAAATATATATTGTCATGTCATTTCATTATAGCATTACATAATCATAAATAATTGAATTTTATTTAATTTGACATCTATAAAAACTTTTCAATTTAGCCACTTTGGTGACTAACAAATTATATGTACTATAAATATCAAAATAAATAATCATAACAATTATTTTAGTAATAATAATCCAAATCGTACATATGCGGAAAGCATTATTGTTGTGAGTAAAGAAAATACCTAGAAACTATCGTATATAAATTTCACATAATTATTGTATCCTATAAACACAATGCAACATTATATTATTAATTTAATGACTATAGTTTCATTTATTTTATCTTACATTTATTATGCCACTTTGATTACCTTTCTTTATATATTATATATATTTAATATATATTCATTAATCTAATAAATATATTTATTATGTTATGCATTTCTTCATTAATAAATATGGTTTATTACTATATTTAATTTATTTAAGGATATGATTTACCATTTGCTTGTAGATAAATTATAATTTCAATAAAATATGAAACAAATCTAACAAATAACAATATGAAAATAAATTATAAAGGAAATAAAAATATAGAATAATTTTTAAAGGAAAATTACAAGTTTTTAAACCAACGGCTCCTTTGATACCACATGTTGAATTTTCTTTTATTATGTAAATTAAACCTTAATTTTGCATAATTTTAATGCCCAAGCTCTTAAAACAAGATGATTTTCACAATTTTCTAATTGAAGAGAAACCATATCTTAGTCCATAATTATTTTTTTTAGAAATAGTTTTTTATACTTTTTTTTCTCTCTTGACCTTTTGACTTAACACATACTCTTGATGGATAGAATATATCAATTTATATGCAGAAAAGGTGAAGCAATTCCTTTCATTCATTAATACCATTCAATTCATACATTACATCATCGTATGAATTTAAACTAAATTTCTTTTCTTTTGTTTTAATTACTTTCATTATAAATAAATAAATAAAACTCTCTTCATTATTTATTGATCAAAAGGATTTTAAACATAATAATTATTAAACCATTAATATCTTTTAAATAAAATTAAAAGATATTTACTTAAGGATGGATAACAGCACATAAGCCACATTATATCCAACGTAACATCCCCTGACCTTCTTTTTTAACGAGTTTGATTCTATTAACTCAACTTCTAGCAAGCCATTATTTCACCAAACCCAAAAAAAATTAATAAGTCGAGCTCCAAATTCAAAAGTCCATTTATAGCCAAAGTTTTTAAAAATGCATATCAGAAAGGTAAAGTTCCTCATTAATGGAGATTTTAGAACAAACAAGAGAATCATGCAAACAACAATTTCAACCATGGATTTGAGATAAATAAGGCAACCTAATGGAAATGAGAAGAGATTGAAAGAATAGGGTAGTTTAGGAAGAAAGAGAAGAAAGACATTTTGAAGACAAAAATACAAAATAAGAAGAAAAAACATATGTGAATAAAGAAAAAGTTTGAATATTTGCAAATGTGAAGAATATGGTAAAGGTAAAGAATTTTAGGTTAATTAATAAGTGCATGTGAGAGAAATGTGCCAAAAATTAACATTGTAACCACTTATAGGAACGGTAATGAAACATTAGATCATAGAGTGATAAGTGACACAAAAAAGGCACAAAAATATTAAGTGGAAAAGGTCAATCACAAGATTTTTTGTAGAATTTACTCAATATTTTTCATCAAATACATGAAATATCATGATTGTAGGACTTAGCCATGCTTTAAAACAAACATTCATCATGTAACAATAAACGCAATAGAAATAAACAAAGAAAATTGAATATTTTAACAAGATCAACTTGTTATGAAAATCATCAATCATACAACATACAATAATCAAACAAAATGTGCTGTTCATACCTTATGGATTGTCATGAATCCAAAATCACAACCATCTCTAATTAAATTTGTACACCAAGATCCAATTGTAACAAACCAAAGCTATCCAAGTATCTGATATTTAAAAATAAACACAAATGACAAACATAAAGCTTTAAAAGATAAGGATTGTGTTTTGGTTGAGATCTATGCTAATAGATTAGAATTCATATTCCTTTCTCTTTATGACCAACAATTGCTAAGCTAAGTGTTTTAAGATAACTTCAAAGCAAGAAAACTCTTTTCTTTTTGTGAAGCAATTTGCAGTAAAAACCCTAAGCATGAAAGTTAAAAGTATGGCAAAACCTTATGAAAGGTATGCAACTAAAACCCATGGATTTTTGTTGTCAATTTCTCTCTTGCATTAGTGGAAGGCCAACCAAACATATATTATATGGATAGATTTAAGTGCTTTAATTTTAAATAATTATGCTTTTATCTCCATACTTAGTTAAACTATTTAACCAACTCCTTTTTTTGGAAATTCACAATTTCACAATTAAACCCATAATTCTTAAATAACATTTTAATTCTATAATGTCACTTTAATTTGTGATCCATTAGTCTCCCAACATATTAACAATAAATATAAAATAATTCAATCATGAGTTTCTTTTTTATATTTATAGATTATGAGCATTATCTAACAATATATTATAACCACCCAAATGTTAGGAGAGTTAAGATGGTTTGACTAGCCTTTAAGTGTAGAGTATGTTATTGTAATTCGATTTTTCATCATATATCTTAGAATGACCAAAAGTATGGTGTAGTGCCTACCTTATAAATCTTTCAATGTTAGTTTCGCAGCTTTTATATTACTTTTCATTATTGGCTTAGCCAAGTACTTCTCTAGTATATAAACCAATATCTGATAAGATATGTTTTCTTCTTTTTATTTTTATTTTAGAAAATGAGATATGTTCTCTCTAATCACTTGGAGTGATCACTCTTTGGATCACCCATCCATTTTCTTATATTTCATGTCATATACTCAAAGCATCTTTTTTAGGCATTTGACATCCAGACCTAAAAAGATGAAACCAAAGCATAATAATTCACACATAATATAATCTAGTATCACAAATCAAATTATTACTCTATCTCCAAATATCTCAACATGTTAATATATGAGATTGATTGCTTACTTCCTAAGAAATGAGACTTAATATGTACTAGCTTGTAAGCATTGTTAATGCCCCTATCTCAACAATACAATGACCACAAATAATTTTAAGAATCAAGGTTTTGATGCGTAAAATTCCCATAATTATAACTCTTTATGATTCCTTTGTAAAGCTTGTATGTTTAAGGAGCTTTATCTTCGTAAGTTATTAATAACATATTATTCACAAAACTTATGGATAAAAAAAAACCGCATATACTAATAATAACTATAATATAATTTGCAAGAGATAAGTAAGAAATGTTTTACAAGTAATGTTGATTGCTTACATTAACAATAATAATATATAGCAAGATTAAAAAAAGAAAAGAAAAATATTTAAACTTAATATTTAATCTATTGAAATATGTTTTAGTTGTTTATACGAATAGTATTAAAATTTTTATTTTTAAGTTTATAAACTATTTAATAATATAATTATAATTTCCTTTTAAAAGAATAGAAAAAAGGAACCTTTTTTTTTAAAAAAATTTACTATCATTCATTATTATAACTTAAAATTTAATTTGCTATCCCGTTACTCATTACTCTTTTTTTTTTTTTCAAAATTATTTCTCTTCATAACTATTTTCTTTATTTTGTAATTTTTTTTGTCATTTTAAATTTTTTATAATATTTTGAGAGGTACCCTCCTAGCTTATTTATAAATATTTATTTTTTTAATATATGAAAATTGAACGATCTAAGAAATATATAGATATGATTCTTTTATCTCCATTTTCAATAATAAATATTTAAGATTAAAAAATTGCACATGAGCTATAAATAATGTAACACAAAAAATGGTCTTCATTTCTTTTTCTAAAGACGAAAATACCTCTCATTTCCTTTTTATCTTATCATGAGTGCTTTGGTAATTTTCACTATAGTTTACTTTCAATAAATAAAATGAGTTCATGTTATTTATATAAATAACAATAAGACTTTGAAGACAAAAAAAAAAAAAAATCCACTTAAACAATGTAAGTTTTATATTTTTTTTAACTCTTTGATAAAATGATTAAAATTGAAAATATTGTTCTGATCCAAATTAATTATAAATTAATTTTAATTCAAAGGTAAAAAAAATATAAAATTTATACTGATATAAAAGTATAGATATTCAAGTGATTTAATTTACATTAATGTAAAACTTACACTATTATATTATTATAAGACAAGCTCACTTCCCGTGGTATTCATGTCTTCTTCGGTAAGGGCTTGCAATATGATTATAGTTTCAAAACATAACGATGAGTTCTTGCAAGTTGCAACTTTCGTTACAACATACAAGCATAAGCATGTAAGCACGTGTAACTTATATCTCCCCATAATAGGATAAAAAAAAAGCTTATTTTACTCTCCCATAGACCTGACAATTTTGACACAATAAGAAAAAAAAAATCATAAAAAAAAACCCAATTTAAAATTAAAAAAAATCATATTTAACAAAATAAAAAATTATATTTTATATTTGACATTTCGACATAAATTGTAATATAATAATTTTCGTACTTTACATGTATTAAATATGAAATAAATAAATATAAATACATGAATTATCAAATCTACTTTCTAAGTATGAAAATCATCGAGATACTGATTAGCTCACCACTAGGAAAATGAAGCAAGAATACAAACAATGGTGAAAAGCTCAAAAAAATACACTAGTGAACCAAATTCGGGGATGTCGTAAATAATGAAGATTTAATAATACAAATAACAAGTGAACTTCATTGTTTTCCTCCCACTGCTATGAAAACAGCACCAGTTTCAGAAAGGTATGAGCAACCAGAGTGAACTTTCAGAAAAAGCCAATGAAGGCATGCAACACATTTCACCTGCAATTAGACCACTTCCTTGCACTCAAAAACACAGTTCAACTTAGCCAACCTCCAGATGATGATATTCTAAAAGCCATCATTCGAAAGAAATGTTAATTTTGTGATTACAGCTTTTGTATGCCAACATAGAGACATGAAGTAAAAAGTGACAAAGAGAGGCTACTACCAGCAATTGGTGAATAATTGAATATCATGATTTTCATACTTTTAGAGCAGCTTTGTGAACCATGGTTTCTTTGTGTATTTGGTGGCAACTCTTCTCAACAAGATCAAGAAGTTTTTCCAAGTTCACAGCCCATGAGTTGAGAATTTCGTTGCTATCCTGTGCTACCTGGAAGCAGACTATTCCCATTGGTCGGTCGATCTTTGCCGCCAGTGCCTTGGACACCACCATTTCAGAAAGATGCTTCTCGGCTTCCTGGAGTGAAAGGATCAGTTCATTAATCAGGATGGGAATAGCATGATGGTACGTGTATCTTTTTTGTTTTGCATTTCAAGCAAAGGCCTAGGTAACTACCAACAACGTTTCTAATGAACAGAGATAGAAGGGGAAAAAAAACAAAAGCAAGCAAACCTGGATAGTGAGACACAACAACTCCGCAAGTCTTTTCAAGGTAATCCTAGAGTAGTACTTTGAAACAACAAGGATATTCTGAAAAGCATCAAATTGGTTACCATTGAGAAACAGAGTAAACAGTATTGAATAACAGGAGGGTGGCAAATTTACATACATGCTCAATAATTCTCTGTCTCAAATCTTCTGCAGCTTTGTAACCCAGAGAGCCTCCAAACATGTTCTTCTCATTCTCAAATTCATCCTTATAAGAATTCCAAAGGGACGTCCACTGGATAACCTCCATTGTAACTAACTGTTTCAACAGCAACCTATGACAAATGATTAAACAAATGTGGTCATCAGATAACAAAACATTTCATAAACAACCTACCCAGAGCATGAAATATTCATGAGTACTAAATTCAACAAGGACGTACCTAAATTTTGGAATCTCAGAAAGATTCTTATCCTCCAATGTGGAATTAAGAAGGCTTGACTGCATTGGATCATGTGGGGCCAGGATTAAGTACCAACAGATTTTTCTCAAGACCTGCAAATGAAAGTGTATATATATATGAGAACAGCTCAAGAAAACCTGGAAAGGGGATATATTGAGATGTGCTATACCAGAATCCACTGAGATGGGTTCTCCCTGATGGACGGAATCTCATATATTGCCTTATAGCAACGGCAAATTTCAAGGTAGTCATTGATATGAAAGTAATACCTACAGAGATATGGAAAACTCATGAGTAAGATAAATCCAACCACACAGCAGCAGACGAGATGATTCACGTAATTCATTTTGCATCCAATCACTTTGCAGTTGATTGAGTCTTTACAGCAAATACAGAAGGTTAATATTTCTTCCTAAGTTGCCAAGTTGTAACAGTAAGTTCAGCTACAAAAGCCAAGGAAAACCTTATGATTGCAATTCTTACATCCAGTAACAGACAAATAACTGTCTTACATCCAACAACAGTTTAAGAATTTTAAGGATCTATTTTTCAAATAACTACAGGCTCTGTTCCTTGAATTTATCTCCAGGGTCAAGTTTCCATGAAAGATACAGATTTCTAGCCCAAAAACAGCAGAAGAAAATTTTTACTCATCTTGTCCACAATATAATATATTTGAAATAATAACCAACAGAAAGAAAACATTCACTGTAATCTTTTGCAGATGTCATCCTTGAAAGAAATGTCAGATACTTGAAGTCCTTTTTATTAGCAATTCACATCAGTTCACGAGGGAGGATTCTGAATGGATGTCCTTGTGTGCTTATTTATTATCATCATGGTCCTCATAAGCGTTGGATGGATGGAAGGTGCATGTAACTTAATTGAGATCCACCAAACATTAACTTATATAAGGATTCCAACACAATTAAAGCACATTCCAAATATTTCAAATATGGGACAGCGTGTTGGGCCATCAAGAAACAACATGAGAAGAAAATGAGCATAGTTGAGATGAGAATACTTAGATGGATGTGTGGTAAGACTAGAAGAAACAAGATTAGAGATGAAGAGATTCAAGGAAAATTTGGGGTAATCTGAATTGAGGAAAAGATGAGAGAGGGCCATTTGAGATGGTTTGGACATGTGAAACATAGGCCTATATGTCACCAATTAGGAGAAATGAGCTTCTAGATTTGGAAGAGACTAAAACTTCTAGAGGTAGACCATGAAATACGTAGATGCAAGTAATAAGAAATGATATGAGGTATAAGGAAGTAGATCATATAGCCGACCCCAGAGTTATGGGACACAAAGCTTAGTCTGTTGTTGCTGTCTTATTTGAAAGTGCATTGGATATTTCATAAGACAACTATACAGAATAATTGAGTTGTAGAACAAAATTTCCACATAGCAATCTCTTTCCAAAATAAAAAATAGGTTCTCCCACCACCCCAAAAAAGGCAAACAAAAAAAGAAAAAGAGATCTCAATAGTAATGGCACTAAGTTCTGAGGTTGTTCGTTGAAAGTATACATATTTGTGTGGCTATGTATTTACAAAAAGTTGATGCCATTCTAACTAAAGGATGTAAAAATATTCAAGAACGTATAAACCTCATAATAGTAGTTATCAAAACTCAATCAAAGTGGTAACAAGTAAATTGAGCAAAAATAATTAAAGCTAGAGAGCAAAGAGGCAAATACCGTATCATCAGTTCATGGTAGATACGCTTCAACTCCAATAATGAAGGTATATCAGCAGGAGGCTCCTCTACAACATTGTCACCTTCTTTTGGTTTCTTCTTTTCCTTAGAGGTGTCAGCATCAAATACTCTAGGACTAATCTTCCTGGAAAGAATTTGAGCACGAACATAATCCTGGCGATCTAAGCAGAGGCGAACCTGCAAAGTTTAATTATTGACAAGTTGACACAAATATTATTGTGATCTTAATCTAAAAGATACAATAACATTGAAAAATAAGGGCCGTTATCAAAATAAGATGCCCATACTTGTTCAAGAATGAAGGCAATTTTCTCAGTTTTTGCCATGGCACCAAAAGTTTCCACCTGCGGTTCAAACAATCAAATATGAGCAAAAGGGGATAAATGCAAAGATCCATGGAAGTAATCATCTTATTATAGAGGAAACTTACTGCAACTTCCTGCATCAAATCAGCAGCTTCAGCAATAAGGCCCTGTTCTTCTTTAATCTTAGCAAGTTTCTTTATCAGTCTTGCTCTCTCAATTTCAACATAAATCTACAGAAGGAAGAAGTTTGTTTAGAAAAAAAAAACGTTACAATAATAAACAGATTACATCAGATAACAAGAAAACTTAATGTCAGAAACTCACCTTTCCAGCAGACACACTGTTCAGGGTCTTGATGAGCTCTATACGAGTTCCAAGATCTGGAGTCCCATCAATGTATTGCATTGCTTGCTGAACCATCGCAGTCACTGCCTGCAGAGTGCAGAAAAATAAACAGTTGTATTAACAATACACTCAATCAAATTGTTTTGATAGCAGGTAGAAATTTTCAACAAGGATATGAAAAAAACTCAATCAAAAAGCTGTCAACATTTCTGACAAAAGTACTTTACAATACTAAAAAGGAAGGGGAAAAATCTAAATTTAGGAGGCTCAATCCTGAATATCAGATATGAAATTTACTCGAATGTTCAATACATGATGTGATTACAATTAGGTTTACTAGGGCTTTTTACCTAATAAATTGATTTTTTTTTTTCCTATGGTTCTAGCTTCAATAGCAATAACTGTTAACATAGAAGTTCTTGTTCTGATTAACACGAATACAATCATATAAATTCAAGGACAATCACAACAGAAACTATAAGAAAATATTAGAGGTGATAAAACAAAATTTTATTGTGGAATGGTCATTTCCAGAACCATCCAAAGAGCTATCCTAATAAAATCATTTGTTATGGGGCTTAAAAAAATTGAAAAGAAAGGTAGAAGATTTTTTTTTCTCTTTTTAAGACTCTGGAATTTGGTTTGTTTTCATTGCTAGATCTGCTAAAAGTGAAACTGCAACAGAAATAATAAGGACAAGGGATGGTACTGCACTTCAGGCATATAGTCACATCTCTCTATAAATCTTCACTATTTCCCCTCAAATCAGTTCCACAGTTTAACCAAAAGACTCAACCCACAACAATCCTTAAATTCATTGCTTGTGTGGCTTTTGCAAGAGAGATTAAGGGAAGTTGGTAGCTTGAGAGGAGCAAAGGAGAAGAAAAACTGATGGTAGAGGACAAAGAAAGAAGTAATTCTGAAAGAGAGTAGCCTCTGGCAGATGGGCAGTGATGATTGATTGAAGAGTGAGATAGCAGGAGAATTAAAAGAGAGAGGGCAGGTATAAAGAGGTTACAGGTTTCTAGAAGTAAAGGAATAGGGTAGGGAACAACAACAACATAACAAACTAAGCCTTATATCCTATAACTCCGGGGTCGGCTGTATGAAAGGCCAAAAAAGGGAGGGGAAGAAAACTGAGAGAGAGGAGAGAGAGAGATGGAGAGAGAGAGGATGGATAAAAGAAAAAAGTGATAAAGAAGGAAAGCCACAACCATAATTGCACATTGAAGTAAACCTTAGGCCCTCAAATTTAGCATTTAGCTAAATTTGGGTTATTGCTTGGATAATGGTTAAAATACAAGCAAAAACAATAAGTTAATCATATGGGAGACATGGTGTAAAAGATCCCAAAATATGATCCAAAATGCAACAGTCAGTACATACTAACAAAAAGTAGAAGAATTTCAAATTAAGTCTTTATCCACAGTAATATTGTCAGCAAATGCATACATCTATACAACTATAGGTGGAACCCCAAAGCAACAAAGGTAAATGTGGCTATAGAAACATGGCACACAACGAGACAATGACTATTAATAGCAAGTGATACTTGAATACATCACCAATTAAATGTTTTTTGGGGTATAAAGCAATAATAGGTTTTGTGATGAAGGTAGTATTTTATAGTTTGTTCAAATCAATCTAGAGTCATTATTCAAATTTACTAACAAATCTAACCAGATTGCATGAACATTTTTACATCATTTAACTGGAATATGCTAAGGTGGTATTCTACTAATTATAAACTAATAAAGGCTGGAAAATATGAAGAAAAAAATGGATTTAAACTGATGTTATCGGTACTGTACCCGCCAGTATGCACTGGTTTTGAGGAAAACTAATACATCTAGGTCCATGTACCATTTTGCTTTTTTGTACCAGCCTGTAATGGCCATTTCAGTCCATATGGATCATACAGGCCAGTAAAATATTTTTTACTTTTTAGTTTTCTTTTAATCTTTTCACTTATTTTATTCTTTTACTCTATACCTAATTTTTCTCTTTCATGATCGTTTTTATTTTTCATTATTTCATCCAAAAATAATAAATGTTCATTAAATCAGCCGATTGAACGATAAATTGCTATATTTTTCTAATATTTTTATATTTATTTAATTTTTTTAGGTTTGACAATGATAGATATTAAATATTTATAATTTTTAAAATCTATATTTGCATATAAATATATAGGTGTGTAATTGAGGTGTATTTGTATGTGTATATACATTTTATAGACAAAAAAATAAAAAATGCTGGTACACCCGAAACAATACACTGAAACACATTTTATCTTCTTTTTCAGCTTTAACTCTACTGACAATAAAAGGTAAAAGTTTACTTGAGTTAGTAGCTGAGTCATCTACTGTAAGGAAGGCTCACAAATATATTAGCGGTCTTCTCTTCCAAATATGTGTGAATATCTAGTCCTATGCTTAGCCACTACTCGTTATAATAAAAAAGCAACAAAGTTATTCTTTAAACATTCAACAATAATGAAAGTCAGCTAAATCCAACTATGAGATGCCATACATTTCAATAAACCCTCACTTCAAATAGCAATTACAACTACCAAATGAAGCATTAAAAGCACACAAATCACCAAAATTAAAAAAAAAAAAACCCTAAAAATCCCTGAAAATGATCTGATTAGATACACGGCCGCATGCAAATAAACAAATTAGATTCAAACCACAGTTGTACAGAAAACCTAAATTCCAAACACAAAATGCATGTATAACGATAAATTGAATTCATTAAAGAGCAACGTAAAAATATTCGTTACCTGCTTAAGTTGACCTCGTTTCTTGGACAAATTAACGATATGTTCATTTAGAGACTTCCAATCCTTAGCTTCAAAGCAAAGCTGCAAAATTTCGGTGACCGCTTTCTTGGTCCCGGAGACATCGCCAGCGAGTCGCATCTGCTTCTCAACATTAAGCAACTGGTCAATCGCCGCCTCCAGATTTCCGTTTTTACCCTCCTGTAAAAAAAAATCGGTGAGAATTAGAAGAAGTAGAAGAATATGGAGATTTCTGATCTGAAAAAAAAAGGAAAGCAATATTGATAGAAAGTTAAGTTTTACCATAGCTTCAGCCTTCAGATGACAAAAACTTGCAGACAGACGAAGAGAAGTGCAACTGTGAGTTTTTGGAATCGTGAATTTGCCTTATGTCGGAAAATTGAAATAATAATAAAAAAAAAAACAAGGAAAAAAGTCTTATAAAACCGGACCGGACCACCTTATCTCAACGGGGTTTTGCGTTTTTAAATTCAAGGAAGTCGGCTTTGAGTTTTTTTTCTTTTTGGTTAAATACAGAAATGACACTTTTATTATACTTTTATGTCAATTTGATATATAAATAGATAAAATTCGTAATTGGGTATTTTAATTTTCATTTCATTATCTACTTTAATATATTAAATTAATATTATTAATTAACTTATTTATTTATCATGAAAATCCGAGAAAATTTTAACACATATAAAAGAAAGTTCAATTAATGATATATCATCAATTACCATATTAATATTAAAATAAAATTAAAAAAAACTAAAAAATCTTTAAAATTCAAAAAATTTTGAGAAAATAAAAAATTCAAAAAATCTGAAATATATTTTTAAAATTACAAAATATTATAAAAATTATAAAAAATTAAAAAAACCCTCAAATTTTAATAAAAAATTATATTTATACATAATTAAAATGTAATCTATCAACTCATCTATCTATTATATAAAATTGATTCATTTTAATTTTTGTTTGACACTCATTTGAAATCTCAACGTGCCATCTTATGTGTTTTTTCCTTTTTTTTAACTTTTTATAATTTTTTTATTTTTTTGTTTAGGTAAATTTTTTGAAAAAAAATATAAATGCCTACATAATGCTTTAATTTGCTTTTTCCTTTCAATTTTTTATCATATAAATTTTGTAACAAAAAGAGTTGATTCATAATAATGGTAAAACAATTTGTATCTAATAGATCGCCACTCAATTGTGATATATACGTAATACTTCAATGAACTTTCTTTTCTTTTTTTTTTTTTAATTTTTTTAATTTTTTCCTTTTTTTTTGTCTTTTAATAAATGTAATTTTGTGAAAAAAAAAAAAAAAACTATGGATGTGTCCACATGATAATCGATTTGAGTTTTTTTATCTTTCGTTTCTTTTTTGTATTGTTTAGAAGATAAATTTTGTAACATAAACTACTAATCGATAAAGATGTTAAAACAATTCATATCCTATAAATTTCATTCATTTAAATCCGATAAAAAAATAATTTTAAAAAACCAAGATTTATTTGAAACGAGTCAAGTATTAAAAAAAATGAGATTGGATCGAAAACGTGTGTTTGGCGTTTTGCTCCGGTTCATATTGAGATGTATATAAAAATGTTTTTTAATTATTTATTTAATTATATATATATGTGTGTGCAATATTAATAAAACAATTTTTATCTTAATTTAAGAATTTTTATTTTAAATTTAATATTAGATACTAATTTAGCATCCTCTGTTTGCTTTTTCTTTCTTTTTTTTTTTTAACTCTTTTTTAGTTTTTTTCAATTTTTTTCATTCACTCTTTTTTTTTTTTTTAACTTTTTATGGGTTTTCGTTTTTCATATTTTTTAAAAATTAATTTTATGAAAAAAAGTGGACCAATTAAAATATACATGTTTCATTCCCTTTTTTTTTTCTTTTTCTTTTTTTTTTTAATTTGATAAATTTTGCAACAAAAAATGACAATTAAAAATGGTAAAATAAAATATTTTTTACCTGTGATTAAAATGAAATAATTCAAAACATGATATGAAAATAGTATGAAAAAAAACATGAAAATAACAAAGATTAAAATTTTAGTAAAAAATATGTAAGAGTTTAACATAAAAAATATATATTTTATATTTTTTGTGTTGACATAAATTATAATTCATAATTTTTTTATGTAAAACATAATATGAATATATGAATTTATACTATTTTATATGACACAAATACATAAATTATCAAATTTATCCATACCAATGCACGAACACTTGTTTAATAATAATTATTATTGAATTAAAAAATATTGTATTGAAAATAAAAGGTCAATAAAAGTTAAAATATTAAACAAAATTAATGTAAGGGAACTTGTTTTAACTTTAAAGGTTGAACCAAGATAAAATGTTATAATGGTTAAATAATAGAAATTAAAACTAAGTTAAATGATGTTAGTTTTTTTTTTTTTTTTTTTGCCAATGACTTATGAATTAATGGATAATAGTTGTTAGATTTATACTTGATTATTTTCATAAATCTTACAATGAGAATGATGATGTATAATTATGTAGTAAAAGTGTTAAGTTTCATAAAGTTTGGACTTTCTTTTCAATTTGGGCTCAAAATCTACAACCCCATAGTGTATTTCAAAAGATTTTTATACTATATTTACACTGGGTTTAACGAGTGATTGGAGTCGCCCAACAAAAGAAAAAAATTTTCATTTTTTTGATCTCTTATTTATATATATGTAGTCCATATAAATCATTGGTTATGCATAAATTTTTAAAGGTTACTAAAAGTAAAGAAAGAAAAATGAAAATTTGTTTTTCTATAAGGATAAAATATTAAAGAAAATTTATTTTTATATAATAATAATAATAATAATAATAATTATTATTATTATTATTATTATATTTACGTAACTAAAATATTTATTAAATTTTGATAAGACGTATCCACATATTCATCTTATTTTTTTGACATTTTTAGCCCTCTAAATGTTTAGCCAACGGTGATTGTGAATCTGACCCTTGTATCCATAGTCAGCATCGAATATATTCGTACTAGGAATATTGCGACCTTTAGTTGAGCTCAGTACATTATTTTGATAATTTTAGAACTCAATTACAAAATTAAACACACTAAAAGTCACAGTTTTATTGATTTCAATAAAATATTACACAAGCACAGTGCAAGACTTGATCAAACAAGCCATTAAAGATAACCAAACCTATTGCACAGATCTTACAGAAGCACCAATTATTTCCACACCACACATATATAATATACTACATATGTAACAATAATTCGATATAATTTGTAATTTATATATTTAATGCATCGTAATTAATAAGAGATTTCACGACAATAAACCTATTAATTTGCAAGAACTTCAAAATTATTAGGCTTAGGAGGCAAAAATCTCTTATTCATTAAGAGTATATAAAATATATATACCGTCAATGCATTAAATATAAGATTTTAATTTATTTTCATATTATATGATCGATATCACGAGTATATATATATATATATATATATATATATAGGTAATTGAGGTTGAAGTTTCGAGTACGTATCAAGCAGAGTTGTGTTGATGTTGTCCATTTGGAATCCTCATATGGTCCAGATATGCTTTTCCATTGGGCTTAAGAGAAAAGTAATCTTTGAGGTATTGCTCCATCCCCACCTTTCTAAATAATGGAGGGTTATTTGGATTTATGAGAGTAGGTGACGGCCCTATGTCGGCCTCCAATTTGGGACTGAAGAAGAAGGCAACGGTTATTCTTTCTGTCTCTGTATTGGTTGAAACCTTGTGCTCAATGCTGTGATAAACCCCATTGCTAAAGATCTGCATCAGCAATATTTACAATTTTTAACACAAATAAGATACACGGTTTATTTATTGATTTATATTTGATGCATTATTGGAATATAAATATTATATACTATTAATAAATTATACAATAAAATTTAATAAAAAATTAATTTTAAAATTTTAAAAATCTAAAAAATAAAAACGCTTAGCCGTAAAAATATATTTAAAAGAGAAATTATTAAATAAATTGATAGTGAAATTTTTAGATTCCACAAACAGAGTTAATTGGTGATATATACCTTTTATGGTATATTAAAAAAATTAAAAAAAATTAAAAAAAGGTGATATATGTTAGTTTTTTAATTCTATTTGTGGAGTTGAAAATTTTAATTCACGTTATATTAAATAATTTCTCTATTTAAATTTTTTTATAAAATATTATTGAATAATTCGTTCAAAGTTTATAGCACTTTTATACTAATAGTGTATAAATATAAAATTTATATATATATCCATAATTGTTTTTAATATATATATATATATATATATATATAGAGAGAGAGAGAGAGAGAGAGAGAGAGAGAGAGAAGTGAGAGAAATTTAACCTCCAAAGTGTCTCCTACATTGACTACAAAGGCATCTGGGATGACGTTCAAAGGAAACCAAAGGCCATCTTTCCTAATCTGAAGGCCGTCGACTCCATTAACTTGGAGCAGGATAGTGAGAAGACTTATATCTGAATGAGGAACAAGGCCCATCACCGACTCTGGTTTTGGACATGGAGGATAATATGCCATCCTCACTGCTTGAAACCCATCATCAAACAACTCTATCATCTCCTTTTCATCAATTTTCAAAGCTTTTGCCATCAAAACGAAAAGTTTTGTGGCAAGCTTTTTGAGTTCAGATAAGTAAGACTCCAAGGTATTTCTGCACGAGACTGATCAAATATTAATGATCAATTTATGAGAAAAGAAAGTATAATAAACTCTACCAAACCAAAACAAAGAAACTGAAAAAGAGTTTTTTTTCTTAGAATTCAACTTAACTTCACAAAGCCAAGAGCTAACTGATTTTCAAGATAAATATATATCACTAATAAATCAAGCTATGATATCAACCTTAACCAATAACAAATGAAATGATAAAAAAAAAAATCCTTGCAAACTGCTGGATAAATGATAAAGCCTAGATATATTGGTATGATGATTCGTTTAAAAAACAAAACAAAATAATTGGTTTGTTATTGGTTCATTGTAATAAATTATGAGGGATAAATCTAAATTTATCATTTTATTAATGGATGAATTTAGACTAAAAGATCAAAAATACTTTGGAATAAAATTTAATAATCATTTAAATTTTTATCATTTTATTACAATCAATTAAATCTTAAACATATATTTTTATCAATTAAGCTTTTATTAGATTAAAATATTAAAAACTTAAATAATTATTAAATTTTTGTTCAAAAATTTTGGAAAAATGGCTATTTTCATTTTTTTTTCAAAATTTAGTTTTATTTTCTGGCTTTTTAATTTTTTATTTCAAATGAAAAAAAAAAAGATTTTTTGTATTTTTCAAATTTTCTCATCCGAGGATAGAGTTAACAAATGATGTGAACCTTACGTATAACCGACTTGACATTTTCTTGACATGTGAACGAAAATTTTTGGAGTAACAAGCCTTAAAAGATTTAAATTTAAATATTTAATCTTAAATATTTATTTTTTAAATACCAAATTAATTTATATTAACATAAATGATATAATTAAAGGGATAAATGAATATTTAATTTTTTTAATAGTCGTGCAAATGATCACGCATCTTTCTTTATTTTCATAGTCACTTGTGCAATTTTATTTTATTATTAAAAATAATAAGAATTTGAACCTAATTCTTTAAGAAAGATAAACATGCATCTTTAATGACTTCCCCTTCATTAATAAATTGGTCTATTGACTTAAATACAAAAACGCGAAAGATGAGAGACAGGGAGAACCTTAAGGATGAAGGGAGCTCAGGGAAGAGACGAGGACTACGTCTATGGAGTGGGTTAGTAATTATATTGATACTGTCAACCCAATCACGTTTTCCATCTCCTCTGATCCTGCTCCCATATCCTTCCAACTCACCTTCCCTTATCTTGTATTTCATTTTTTCTTCCAAAGGAAGCTTAAAAAATTCTTCAACCTCATGTTTCAGTTTCTCCAGCAGTGAAGAGCTAACTCCATGGTTCACCAGCTGCAAAAGCCAATAAGTACTCTGAAATATATTTCTTTTTTGGGTAATTTTCTTTTTATATATTTGACCCTGATGACTGGGAATAAAAATTCAACGTTATCAGGTGGCTGTTGGCTAAATCTCCTCTTTATTACTATCATGTTTGCATTGGTTATTAGGTGAATGAATCTAAAAGGAGAATCGAGAATCACGAACCTGAAACAGACCCCAGTCTATGCAAGTTGAGTGCAACTTCTGGAGTTCAAGTTCATGGTCGTCTCCAGAAACCAAACGAGACATGTCAATGGTTGGGGTTGATGGCAAAGGAGTGGTGACAGAGAGGGAAGGATGTTCTTGATTTAAACGAACAAATTGTTGTGGGATAGATTTTGTTGGTCCTTTGACAAGCTCCTGAACACTAATCATTGAAGAATCAGAGCTGCTAAAATCTTCTGGGTTTGATGATCCCATATTGCTAAAGCTGATGAAGTGCCTATACAATTTACATAGCCTAATTGGAGATATTTATAGGAAAAGGAGTCGGCTAAGCTAAAGCATATGGTACTTGCAAACTCGTAACGAGCGAATTGTACTAGCAAATTCAATTACCATGTAGGCATGTACCAATCAGCGGCAGGATTGACTTACGCCCTAATTACATTTTTTGTCAGACAAGCCATTAGACGTGATAATTGGTAGATATTTATTTATTTATTTTATAAAAATATAAAATAAAAAATTATCATATTATAATTCATGTAAATATGTTAAAATTTTTTTTTACTTTTTTGTTTTTGCAAAACACGTACTATTTTTTTTTATCATATCACTTACATGTTTAAAATTGCTTGATCTACTTTAGATAACAATTTTCATGTACAATTCTTGAATTTGTAAATAATTTAACAAAAATCAAATTTGAAAATTAAAAGTTGATAAATTGGTAGATTCCCAAGATTAGTAACATATGTAAGTGTCCAATTAAACATTCTATATCCTATATGTTAATTTTACTCATTTGAGTGCCACTTGGCACCAAATGAGTTCTTCTCTTTTTTATATCAAATAAAAAATTTTATTTTTATTTCTTTAAAATTTTGTGTGGAGTCCATTTCATTTTTTTATTAAACAAACTATTTTTTATTTTTTAAAAATTAAATATTTTGTTAGAAAAGAAAACCCATAGAGGTGTATTTTTTTTCCACCCTTTGCTTTTTTTTTTGTTTTGTTTTTTTAGAATTTATAAATGAAAATCTCCACGTGTCATCTCAATTTGCTTTCTTTCCTTTTTTGCCATTTCTTTTGTTTTTTTGTTTTTCCTTTTTTTTAATTAAATAAATTTTATAAGAAATAAGTCAATGTAGGTAGGTAACAATGATAAAACAATTTGTATCATTTGGAATTCAATTTGTTTTGATCCAATAAGTGCATTTTTTAAAAATTCAAGATCATGTCAAGTTTTTTTCTTTTTTAAAAATAAAGGTTAAGTTAAAGGAGGGTTTAAGGTGCTCCTCTTCACCTTGGATATGTATAAAAATATAGTTTTTATTATATATTTTTAATTTTATATTTATATGTGTATTATATTAATAAAATTATTATTTAATACTTTAATTTAATAAAAGTATTATATTTATACATAATTAAGTTGTAATTTATATTAAAAATTTTTATGAACATTGTACTAAATTTAAATTATTTAATTAATTTTGGATTATTGCAGGTCAAATGTAAGTTATAAATTTATATGTCGGATTGGGATTGGCTATAAAAAATAATAATTTGATTTTCGGTTGAATTATTTAAAAAATGTATTAGAGTTGGGATGAGTATAAATATGTTTGAATTCGACTCGTTGCCATTCTTAAATGGAGATATCCACGTCGCACTCCCATTTGGTGTTTTTTTTTTTTTTTTCGCTTAGATCATTTTTTGTTTTTCTTTTAGTTTTTTTTTTAATTATCTATTTTAATATTTCTTATCTATATTTGAAAAGATAAATGAGCAATTAAGGTATTAACATTACACCTTTATTTGACCTTTTTTTTCTCCCTTTTTCCCTTTTCTAGCCCCTTTTTTTTTGGCCTTTTTTAATGAGATGAACTTTGTAAGAAATGAGATCAATGAAGGTTATGATGACAAAATAACCCATGTTCAACAAGTTTTGACTTGCCAATCATAGAAGGATGATTCTTTTTAAAATAGAATTGGGTTAGTGTGAGGTAATTTTTCCTTTTTGAAAATCAGAGTCGAATTAAATATATATTTATTTAATTTTATATTTATATGTGTATGTATTATATTAATAAAGTTATTATTTAAAACTTTAATTTGTGAAAATACTATATTTATATATAATTAAGATATTATGAATATTAAAAAAATAAGATTTTCATAAATGTTATACTATTGAATTTTTTATTAAGTAGGGTCGGATGAGGGTTACATATCTATATATGTTGGGTCAAGGTAAGGTTAAAAAAAAAAAATCTTAGGTTGGGATCAGGATATGTATAAACCTGTCTTTGGTTGACCCATTGCCATTCTTGAGCATGAATATCCAAGTGGCACCTCTTTCTTGCTTTTTTTCTTTCTTTTTTTTTCCTTCAATTTTTCCATTTTGTTTAGTTTGAACTTTTTTAGTTGTTTCTTTAATATATTTTAACTATGTTTGTTATGATAAAATTGAAAGTCACTACCAAAAATAAGTTTATCAGCGACAAAATTTTACTCACAAAATTTTTTCATTGGTAATTATCAATGAAATTTAATCATAGAAAAATTTCGATCATCACTGATAGAATATCAATATATTGCCAATGAAATTTATTGATGCATTTAATTTCGTTGGCAATCTGTAGGTAAATATGGCATAAAATTCTACAACAATTATCGATGAAAAAATCTGTCGACAAATAAAATTTACAAAAAAAAAAAATTCATGTTTGCCAATTACTGAGGAATTTTTCATCGATAATCCATAAAAAAATCATAAAAAAGTTTAAATCCCATTCCCATAATAAAGAAATCCAATTTCACCCAAACTCCAAATCCTTAAAATCAAACCTTTCTCCTTCTTTCCCTTATCTCCCCCACCAATTCTCATTTTTCCAACTGTTTGTTTTTCATCTCGCTGGTTAGTTGGTCATCCTTCTCATTCATTGATAATTTTTTTTCTTCTTTTTTTAAGTTTTTTGTTATTTTTTTGTTAAGTTTACTGTTAAACTTTTTTGTATAGATTTGTTGGATTTTTTTGTTATATATTTGTTAAGTTTTTGTTGGATTCAACTTTTTGTTAATTTTTTGTTAGGTTTTTTACTGAGTATTGTTGAGTATTGCTAATTTTCGTTGGATTTTTTTGAAGTATTGTTGGGTATTGTTTTTTGATTTGTTGAGTATTCTTGTTGTTTTTTTATTTTATATAGATTTATCAACTTATATATATATATAAGATATATGTTAATTTTATGGTAAATTTGGGTTTGATGTGTATTAAAATTTATATTTGTTTTGAAAAAATTTTATATTTGATATTTTTAAAATTGAAGAATAATTATTGAAATATTGTGGTATTGTTGTATTGATAAAAGGTTGGTAAAATTTATAATATTCAATACTATTACAAGTTGATGTACTTGGAATTTTTTTTTTAATTTTAGGGTGTTGAATAAAAAAATATTACAAAGGTTAAATGGTAAAAAAAAAAAATTAAATGTTGTTATGATTTATGAGTTAGTGTATAATAGTTGTTGGGTTTATTTTTTTTTTTCAAAACTTTCAATATGAATAATTAATCAAACTTAATTTAAATAAATTAAAATTTTCTAAGACTTTTTTTTCTTTTCCATAATTTATCAGTGAATGTGTATTTTGAATGTGGGTTTAGGTTGGATTTATATTTTATAATGAATATAATTTTTTATTCATTTTCATGATACTATTATTATTTTCCATTCCATTGACTTTAAAAGTAGAACAAGCTCCGTATGTAGAAGTTCCTTAGAGAAAATCTTTTACAAAACCTTGAACTGCACTAAGAAGCCCAAGATCTAAGGTTTTCTTTAGTCATTGAAACCAATAATATATTATTGTGAAGTTGTTGTTTTGTAGTAAGCATGATAAGTTTTTTTTAGACTTCTTATGCCATTAATGAACTATTTATTAAAGTATACTAATAATTATCTCATATTATCATTTAGATAATTTGGTTTACTATAACAATAATTACTTATATGGTCAACCAATAAAAATGTTAAACACTTTATAGGACTTTAATTGCTCATATTTCAATTTAAGATACTAAGAGTTATATTCTTTGGATCTTTATGATTATTCATTTAGGGTTGAAAAAATGGACAAAGATCGTTCTCGGATATACTCTCATTTAGATGTAAATGGATACATTAATCAAAACTTTTGTGATGCATTGAGGAATTTTTTAAATATACTTATTCTTAACCAAAAGTTGTAAGCAGTAAGAAGCTTAGGTGCCTTTGCACTGAATGTGAGAATAAAAGGTTTTTAAAAGTTGATGTTGTGCATAAGCATCTTTATTATAAGAGGTTTATTCTTGGTTATACAAATTGAGTCTCATATAGGGAGTTAGAAATAGGACAAACTTCTTTAATAAATAGAGATACATTTATCAATGAGTGAAGAAATAATAAAAAATTTCTATTCTAAAATGGTTATGGATGCTATATATCTTGATTTTAGGGATGGATGGTTCTCATGCTAGTGAGGCAAGAGTTGATGAGGAAGGTCTAAGTATAAATGTAGCAAGCTTTTTATTTTTTGTTGAATGATGTGGATGAACCATTGTGGTTAGGCTATACAAAACACACAATCCTCTTTACTATATTATAACTTTTAAATTGTAAATTAGAGTTTAATATTATTGAATCATGTTTTGATTATTTTATGAGCATAGTAAATGATATATTGTTGGTGAATGATAAATTATTAGAAAACTTTTACAAAATAAAAAGAAAGATGACGAAACTAGGACTTGGTTATAAGAAAATTCATGTATGCAAAAACCATTGCATGCATATTTTTTAATCTGTGGTCATCCATGATATATAAGGAATAAGTTTAGTAATGAAACAATAAAAAATTTCTTATAAAATCTTATATTATATGCCACTGATACCGAGACTTAAAAAACTTTATATGTCAACTAAAACTGCTGAATATATAACATAACATGCTTATAACCAAAGTCATGATGCTATACTTTGACATCCTATTGCTGGTGAAGCTTAAGAACATTTCAATCGCATCCATGAATCATTTGCACTTGAAATTTGAAATGTATGATTAGGATTATTTACGGATGATTTTTTTTTCATTTGATCTAAGTGTGAAACATACTCTTGTTGGCCAGTAATGATAATGGTATATAATTTGCCACCATAGTTGTGTATGAAATGAGAACATATTTTATTGAATATGGATATTTTAGGAGAGTAGTCCGGGTCAAAATATAAATACTTTCTTAAGACCTTTAATAGATAAGTTAAAAATATTATAATCGAATGATATTGTGACTTATGATGCTTATAGAAAACAAAATTTTCATTTGAAGGCAACTCTTTTATGACAATTAACAATTTTCCTACATATGATATGTCATTTGGCTGGAGCACTCATGGAAACTTATCATGTCTTTATTACATAGGA